AGGTAGCGGTCTCAGGTTTTGGGCAATGTGCCGGGATGAGGCCCACGGATTCAGAGTCTCGTGTGGCCAAGCATCAAAAGAATCTTTTTAGCTACCAGATTTTATATATTTCTTTTCTGGCTGAAGTCCTTCTGACTTACGTCAGTAACTTCAGTGTTTTCTTGAGATATGGCTCACACCCTGTGGTCACTTATCACCAACACACAGACACTCAACTCACATAGGTTCTGTTTGGTTGCTAAGTTACAACTTAGCTTCTTATCTACTTATCTACTTCACACAGTGTCACAGCAATGTTCAGTTTGGTTTCAGAGTTTACAGAGTTAATATTCATCTTTAATTTCTGATTTCTAAATTCCTAATAAATTCCTAATACATTCAGTACAATGGTAGATGGACTTGCCCAACTGGAGTTTTAATTTGCTCTGATGGGCTGAATGGAGGGTGAGTCAGTTTGGGGAGCTGCCTGGCCTCCTGTGTAATGGAACCAGGGTCCTGACTGAGGATACACCTGAGGTTGATCCTTACAGACCCCAGGCAGAGAGCTTGCCATGGTGATTCTCCCATGGTCCCCACACAGGGCTGAGCAGCACATGTGGAGACCTAGTTAAGCTGAACTTGAGTCCTCTCCTGCATAGAACATGGCAAGTGCTCTCCAGAGTGAGATGTCTGACCCTCCCTTTCTTATGGCACCTGTCACCTCGGTTTCTCCTCTTCTCTTCATTCCCTGGAAATTTTTCAGCAGAAGAGACATATTCACATGGTGGACGTGAATGTTATGTCTGTGGACATGCTTGTCAGCCCCTCTGTGGCCCTCAACTCATCCACATAGGGGAACTCAGTGAGATCTGCCTCCTAAGGCTATGTGGTTACCTGGGATGCGGGGGACGGTGTAACTTCCAAAAATAATAGTCTTTATTATTGTATCAGAACAGTCAGTTGTCATCATCAGAGCACAGTCTTGGGCCGCAGAAGAGTAAACACAGAGGGAATTCCCAAAAAGACTCTTAGGTAAACGCATGACTGTGTGGCCACAGCGGACGGTCCTGTGAGCGACTAGTGTAAAGAAGGTGTGCATCTAAGTCAGGGGTGGCCGTGTGCGATGGCTGCTGACTCACCGTGGTTTAAAATATTTGCTTCCTTTTCTGATTATAAAATTACCTCTTCATATACAAGTACGGACATGCTGGAGAGCTGGCTCAGTGGTTAAAGCCATGCGTAGCTCTTGCAGGTTCCCAGTATGGCTCACCCTTCCTCCAATTCCAGATCCAGGGCCCAATTCCCTCCTCTGGTCTCCACAGGCACTGCACACACGTGTACACACATAAACAGAAATAAAAGAGATCCTTAAGAACTATTAAGATTCAAAAGGAAAGTAAAATGTAAAAAGCTAAGGAGAACATAGGCTAAGAAGTCCAGGTCTAGGCCGACCTCCTAGGATGCCAGGCTAGAAAGGTGACTATGGACCAGTCATTCAGCACCTCTAACTGCAGCTGTGTCCTGTGCTACGTGGTGGGGATTGAACTCCGGATCTCACATGCGTAGGCACGCACTCAGCTACATCTTGGTCTTTCTTTACTTCTGCTTCAGACAAGGTCTTACGAAGGTGGCTAGGCTGGCCTGTATATGGTCCAGACTGGCCTTGGAAGCCAGACAGCAGAGAGCACAGAAACTCACGATGTCATTCCTACTTTCTACCGGATCTTAGTCTTCAGGTTCCTTCCATATATTCACTACCTTAAATGGAGGGGGCGACAGTCCTCTCTCCCTATAACAGGTGTTCCGTGACTGCCCTTCTTTGTGTCCTCCCTCCCTCCCTCTCTCCCTTCTATTCAAACCCCCCAAATGTTTTTTATTTATTTGAAAGATAGTATACTTAAATAAAAACCTATTATTCTTCAATCTGAAAAAAAAAAAAAGCTGAGTAGTTTCAATGAAGTAAAGACACAGGCAAATACTTCTTGCTTAGGCATGAGTGAGGACTACTGCGGTGTTTTCTAAGTGAAGGACTTTCCATGACAGTACCACTTACTGAAGAAACGTAATAGCAATGAGTTATAGGTGCTGAAAAGTGGGCACCCCCCCACACCTGTACAGCAGCTGAGCTCCTTGGGGGCGCTCTCGTGCAGCTTCGTCTGAGTCCACATACAGCCACCTCTTCCCGACGCCTGGGGAAGTCTCCGGGTCCAACAGGAGGGACCTTGGGACACTGTGTTTCATCTCGGCCTCCAGTCTAATCATTCCAGGCACTTTTGACAGGCAGGAGTGGTCCCTGCTCTTCCCAAGCCCGGGCCCAGTCTGGTATTGGCAATAATTTCTCTCCTCTGTTTGATCCACTGTTGGGGCAGATTCGCTACCATTCACCTGCCCTGTTGGAGAGTCAATTAGCCTGCTTGACTGTGGCTCTCTAGTTTGGGAAGAAGGAGTTTTCCCTTTTGAAGAATTTTTAGAGGGCTGCTCTGGAAGTGATGAAAGCTTGGAGGCAGGGTTAGAGGTGGGGGAGTTCCTCCCAAGGACTCAAAAGTCAGGTCTGGAGGGCGGCTGCTTTTTCTTCTCCACTCAAAACCACTCAAGTAATCAGGAGGCTTGGAAACAGAGTTCACTGATTTTCCTCTCTGGACATGACTTTGTGGTTTGGGTTCATCAGCACCCCTGGCTTCCTAAGCCAGCCTCTCTCCAGAACAGTGTGAGGTCACAGACTAAGCACTTCATCAGCCAGAAGATTTGGGATAAAAGGCAGCTCTCCTCCCGTGGCACGTTGCTGAGCTCTCTCTGCTGATCCTCTTCCGGAGTCTGAGAGAAGAGCTGTGATGACTTCCCTCGGGGTGACCATGAGGGTGGACTACAGCGGCAGTTAATTCTACCTCTACCTTTGCAGCCTTGAAGCTTTGAATGTTTTCCTGATTCACACACGTCCTAGTTTGGGTTCTGTTGCTGTGATAAACACGACAACAAAAGCAACTTGGGGAGAAAAGGGTTTATTTAACTAACAGCTCACTGTCCATGACAGAGGGAAGCCAGGGCAGGAGCCTGAAGGCAGGACATGAAGCAGAGAACACGGAGGAGCCCTGCTGCCTGTCTGGTTTCCCTTGGCTTGCCCAGCTACCTTTTAGTACAGCACAGGCCAATCTTTCCAGAAGGAGGAACTTCCTCAGTTGAGGTTTTATCTTCCCAGGTGCGTCAAGTTGACAGCTGACGTTAACGATGACAGCATGCATCATGATTCTTCCTTAGTCGGCAAGCACTCCTTGGAATAAACGCTCACTAAATAATCACCAGCTTGGCCATGTAACACGGGAATTAAATTTTCATTCTATATAAACCTTCTTCAAACTAGAGGCACTAAGCTTCCCAAGGAAACAAATACATCAGTGTACACAAGAAAGAGTTTCTTGTCACATGAGGGCAGAATGTCTTCAGTACGGTAGCTAATAGAGGCAGGCTTTCTAGTAAACTGCAGGGAGTGATGTGGAAATGAGACTTCAAGTGTTGATTGATTGATTGATTGATTGATTGATTGATTGACTGTGTACCTTGCCTGAAGGAACAGGTTGAGAAATGACACCACTGGCAGCAGGCACAAGGGACCCTGGGTAGAGTGCGGGGACAGCGTGTGTCCCTGGCTCCTCAGGGCTCATCCCTCTGAGGCTGACAGAGCTTATAGGACTCTGGGAGGGGGCTTGGAGGGTGGGACTGCCTCTGGCTTCCTGAATGCTGAATCACAGTGTCCTGTCATCCCTCAGCCCAGCATCAGTGGTGTGGATCTTGATAAGTTCCGGGAAATTCTGCTACGCCACTGTGACGTGAATAAGGATGGCAAGATCCAGAAGTCTGAGCTGGCACTCTGTCTTGGCCTGAAAATTGCCCCCTGATCTCCAGATGCCCTGCCTCGTCTGCTTGTGTTTCTGTGCTCTTGCTGTGAGCAGTTTGTCTGCGCTTTGATCTCAGAGACCCATCAGCAAACTTCTTGGATGGTGTGGTACTTGTGGGTATCCTGGGCAGAGGGAGGGTCTAGGGTGCTGCTTCCTAAGCCAGCCATGGTTCTGTCCCAGGGGATGTTCGCATGCAGCACTCTCCCCTTGGCCTTGACCTTTCTGTCCTCCATGGGCTCAGCTAACCTGCTCGACCTTCCCAGTCACCATCCCCTTCACCCACCGTCTCCTGTTCTTCCTCCAGAGCTTTCTTCTGAGTTAAAGTGTCACCTGTGGCTGTCTGTCAAGTGGATTTTCATGTGGAAATAAATCTGCAGTCAAAACTGAAGTTGTGATTTTTGAAGTGTTCCCCCTGCTGGTTCGGGAGCTGGGGGGGGGGTGTCCCAGAGAAGCCACTGGGTCCAGCTGAGGTAGCAGCTGCTCACGGTGATTTTTTATTGGATGGCGTATTAGTTTCTTTTCTGTTGCTGTGATAGAAGCACTGATCATGGGAACTTATAAAAGAAAGAGTTTATTTAGCTTATGGTTCCAAGGGGCAAGAGTCCATCATGGTGGGGAGGCATGGGGGCAGAGGTGGCTGGAGTAAGAGCAGGAGCTAACTCTCACATCTTCAAGTAGGCACAGGAAGCAGAGAGTGACTTGAGAACTCTGTAGGCTGTGCCCTGAGAGACCTGCTTCTTCCAGCATGGCCACACCTTCTAAGACCTCCCCAAACTCTCAAAACCAAGTGGGGACAGAATGTCCAAATACCTGAAGCCTACGGGGGACATTCTCATCCAAACCACCACAGACAGGAAGACCACAGCACCCTTGGCTAGGCGTTTTAACTCTTGATAGCTTCATCCTCCAGCCTCTTGCTTCTGTTTCCTGAGTGCTAGGATTACAAGTGTGTGCCACGGTGCCCAGCTGGATTTCATTCTCAACGCTTTGGTGAGTTCACCTGCCCAGGTAGGAGGAGCTAGAAAAGAAATGCAGAGGGGCCTGAGCGGTGGCTCAGCTGTTAGGAGCACTGGCTGCTCTTGCAGAGGACCTGGGTTTGATTCCCAGTAACCACACGGCAGCTAACAACCATTTGTAACTCCAGTTCCAGGGGATCTGACCCCATCTTCTGATCTCCGTAGGCATTACATGACATAGGTACACTGACATACATGTAGGCAAAACATGCATTAAAAAAATAAATAAAAAAAAAAGAAATGCAGAGAAAATGTTTCTAAGGCTGCCCAGGCACCTGCCTGGCTCCATTGCTTCCTCTCCCAGCAGCGTCGCCCAGCAAATTTAGGGTCCCTGAGGCTTTCCTACCGCAGCGTCTCTCATGAGCACTTCTGCACACTCTTAGCCCACTGAGATGGTTAATCTTAATAATCAACATGGTAAGATCTAAAACCACCTAGGAGACAGGTCTCTGGGCATGCCTGTGAGGGATGACCTTGTTTTAGTTGGTGTGGGAAGACCCACGCACTGTGAGCGGTGCCATTCCCCAGATGGGACCCTGGACTGTGTAAGTGGAGAAAGGGTGTTGAGCAGCAGCACGTATCCATCCATCTCTGTCTCCTGGCTGTGGACGTGATGTGTCCAGACCCTGCAAACTCTTGTTGCCTGACTCCCTGCTGTGATGGGCTGTATCCTGGAACTGTGAGCTAAGACAAACCCCTGCTTCTGTCAGGTATTTTATCACAGTGACTGGAAACATAGCTAGGTCAGCCACCGTGTCCCCGTTTAACAGTTTCCATGTGTCCCCCTTACTCTTGTGGTCGCTTGCACTCCCGGTTGCTTGCGGAACATGTGTCATTATTAATGAAAGTAGCCGTCTGAAGTTTGCTTCGACCCTGCAAACGTGTGCTGAGGGAGAGTGACAGATGCTTTCCTTTACTACTTTAATTGCTAATATCATTGTTTAAAATCACGTGTAATGACTCTTGCTGTAAGGAAAATCTAAAGCTGGAAGTTTCTTCTGTGAACTAAAATGCTTCACGGCAGTTGACTGTTGTCTCATTGGCAGGAGGGCCGGCATTGTGCTACCAGAGGGGAGGCATTCTAAGGAAGGACTCGGGCTATCAGACCAATGGAACAGTAGACCCCACAGAATTAAAATTTCCCCAGGAGTCCTGTGCTGGGGGAAGGGGAAGCTGAAGTCCGGGTGTCGGCAAGAGGAGGAGCATTCCTGAGAGCTGCACATATTGCTGGCAACGAGAGTCAACCTATTTCCTGAGAAATCTTTTCCATAAAATTGTAACTTTGCTACAGAAAAAGGTAGAAAGAAACTATCCCCCACCCCTGCCCTTGAGTTTGGCCAAACTTTAAACTAACTCATTTGCCTCTGCCAATTTCTGTTTTCTAGTTTCTTTAAGAAGTAAGTTTATGGATGCAGCTGCTTCATATAGCATTAGGCCAGAAGTAGGCCATTGGCCAAACAAAGGCACCCAGTATTCTAAACGCTCTAGACTATGTCCAGTCAGAAGAGACATATAATGGGGGGGCACTGTAAATGAGGCACTGAGACACATCTCACCGTAGAATTAGGAGCTACGGTTAAATTCTTGAGCCCACCACATACCAGTTTTATAATAATAGTTCTCATATCTCATACATTAATACTGACATGCCACCACTTTGAATATCAATTTCTTCATTTATTGAACAAAAATAGGGACATGGCACAGCTGGTAACATGCTTCTGCACAAGCACAAGCCTTGGAGTTTGGATCCCTAGCGCCCATGTTAGGAGCTAGATGAAGAGGCTCCCACCTTAATCTCCATGCTGGGGAGACGTAAACAGCTGGATTTCTGGAGGTTGCTGGCTGGCCAACATACTGAATCAGTGAGCTTCAGGTTAGAGAAAGACCCTGTCTCAAAAAATAAGGTATAATAATGTATAGAGGCTAGAGAAAGGTACCCAGTGCGGATCTCTGGCTTCCATGTGTACACACGCCTACAAGTCACACACACACACACACACACACACACACACACACACACACAGAAATAATGAGTCCCCATGTAGTGAGAAGGTTGTATCATCTGCCAAGCTACTGTGTGAGCATTTTGTAAATAGAATGCTCTAGGCAAACATGAAGTGGGACTGTGACTGTGGAAGGAGGGGTACTTCTGACATACCACCACCTTGTTCCCTGGCTCCACCTTGCTTCAGAAACTCCTGGTGCTCTCCCCAGGAGTGAGCCGGCCATCCTTCATGGGTCTGGGCATCAAACATTCCTGCTGGCTTTGAGTCCTCACTTCACACCTTGTGGTCACCTCAGAATCCATTCTGCTTGTGTATAATCTTTTTCTTTTTAGGTCCAGGTCTTATTCCCAAGTTGGAAAGAGTAGTAAGTCTTTCTAGCTTCTCCGGGAGACCTGCATTTAGTACAAAGTATTCAGGGATCTGTGATTGTACATGGGTTTCAAGCATGACAAAGAAAAAGCATAGGATGGGAAGACTCATAAGCCATCATCACAATTGTCACTACCATCACCATCATCATCACCATCACCACTATCACTATCTCATCATCACCATCATCACCATTTCATCACCACCATTATCACCATCTCATCATGATTATCACCATAATCATCACCATCATCATCATCATTATCATCACCAACATTATCACCACCATCATCATCACCACCATCATCATCACCATTACCATCATAATTACCAACATTATCACCATAACCATCATCATCATCACCATTCTCACTATCATCATGACCACCATCATCGCCACCATTATAATCATCACCATCACCACCATCACCATCACTATCATGACCATCGTCATCTCCACCACCTCAGAGTTCTTTCTGCTTCTGCTTAATTAATTTCTCTTTTGGGCCCAGCTTTTATTTCCAAGTTGGAAAGAATAGTAAGTCTTTCCAGCTTCTCCAGGGCACCTGCATCTAGATAAGGAATCTAAGGATGGCTGGGATATGCCTTTGGGTAGAAGCCACAGAAAAAGGCTGTCCATCTTGCTGAAGTAGGAACTAAGTTCCGAACAAAGGAGAGGGCTGTGATGAAGGTGTGATGGTTTGAATGAAAATGTCCCCATAGGCTCCAAGTATTTGGACATTTTGTCCCCACATGGTGGCCCTGTTTTGGGAGGTTTTAGAAGGTGTGGCTCTCCTGGAGCATGTCACTGGGGGTGACATGTCACTGGGGGCTCCCCAGCATGTCACTGGGGCTGGGCTTAGAGAGTTGTTAAGCCCTGCTGGATCTGGAGTTGCTCTTTGGTTTCCTGTGCCTGCGTGATGATGTGAGAGGTTAGCTTCCTCTCCTCCGCCAGCCATGATGGACTCTTGCCCCTTTGGAACCGTAAGCTCAAATAAACGCTTCCTTCTATAAATTGCTTGGGTCAGTGTTTCTATCACAGCCACAGAAAAGTGACTAATACGGTGCCATTCTTATTTCTGCTTTATGAACTGGAAAATTTGGACTGAAAGAGGGTAAGTAGATGCTACAAGGTCTCTCAGCTAGTAAGAGACCAAACAGGAAGCAAATCCATTTCTAGAATGGAGATAATGTTATCTCTAAGGTTGTATTCGAATTTTTTAGTTGCTAACATGAGGCATCCTCTCCTCGGGGTTTTGACTCAGGGCTCCAGTGGCTTTGACACAGTGACTTGAATCATTCTTTCCTTTCATCGAGGTGAAAACTGGTGATTTTTAAAACACAGTAGCTGCCAGCTGGGGCCGGGATTAGTGTGGAGCAAGTAAGATACTCCAGGAGCAAAAGCTAAGAGGTCATAGGAACATGGTGAGTTTGAGGCCAGCCTGGGCTACATAAGATCCTGTCTTAAAAACAAAGAAGGGGCTGGAGAGATGGCTCAGCAGTTAAGAGCACTGGCTGCTCTTGCAGAGAACCTGGGTTTGATTCCCAGCACCCACATGGAGGCTAACAACCATCTGTAACTCCAGTTCCACGGGATATGATGCCCCCTTCTGACCCCTGTGGGCATTACGTGACATGGGTGCACTTAACATACGTGCAGGCAATACACTTATACATGTAAAATAAAAATAATAAAAATATTTTGTTAAGAAGAAAGTATTTTTGCATGTGTCCTGTTCACATGAAGGCTCACTATGTTTCAACCATGGCAAAGAAAAAGTGGAGAACTAGGAGACTCATACCATCATCCACCATCATCAAGACCAGCATTTTCAATATCCTCAGCATCCTCAGCATCATCAGCAGTAGCATTTGCACCATCATCAGCATCATTAGTATCGGCAGCACCATCAGTAGCATCATTTTCAGCATCATCACCATAGTATCATCACATCACCATCGGCATCATCAGCATCATCAAATTATCAG